CAACAAAGCATGACAAGCTCACAAAGCTCCAACAAAGAATGGCGAGATGACAAATCTCCAATAGAGAATGACAAGCTGAAAAAGCTCCAACAGAGAATGACAAGCTGAAAAAGCTCTCATGAAGAACGACAAGCTGAAAAAGCTCTCATGAAGAACAACGAGCTCACAAGCTCCGATGAAGAACGACGAGCTCACAAGCTCTAATGAAGAATGACGAGCTGAAAAAGCTCTCATGAAGAACAACAAGCTCACAAGTTCTGACGAAGAACGATGAGCTCACAAGCTCTAATGAAGAATGACGAGCTGAAAGAGCTCTCATGAAGAGCGACGAGATAAGCTGAAAGAGCTCTAATGAAAAACGACGAGCTCACAAGCTCTAATGAAGAATGATGAGCTGAGAGAGCTTTGATGAAGATGAGATCATAAGGCTCCAATAAAGAATTACAAGTTGACATAGCTCAAACAAAGATTTACGAGCTTGTAGAGCTCTAACAAAGAATGACGAGCTGACAGCATCCAATGAAGAACGACGAGCTAAGAAAGCTCAGATAAAGAGTTACAAGCTGAGACCTTATATGAGTGGACTCCTACACAGAGTTACAAGCTAAGACCCTACATGGGTAGACTCTCATAGAATAACGAACTGAAATCCTAAATGGGTTAGCTCCAGATAATCTTGAATACTTTGACTTGAATGGTTCAACAAAGAATTACAACCTCATAGAATGAGCTAAGACCCTACATGGGTAAACTCCTATGAAGAATTATGAATTAAGACACAACATGGGCGAGCTTCAATAGAGAATTCCAATTGAGATGCTAATGAGTGGGCTCTAGAGAAATTATATTGAGGCTTTAGTGAAATTGAGCAAAAACCATGTGTGGTGAGCTTAGAACTCCAATCTAAAGTGCTTGGACCAAATTTCGAGCAACACCCTTAAAGGTTGTAGGCTTCAATCTCAAAGCTCAAAGCTCTTAAAAATGATCAACTCATCTACTCTACAAAAGCTTGTGCCCATCAACTATTAGCTTTTTAGCACATTTGTTCTATGAAAGCTCAGTTCAATTACAGCTCTACAGAGCACAACCCTTAAAGGGTTTGATGTCTATGTTGTGACCTAAGAGGCCAAGATTTCCATTTAAACATCCCAATGAGGGATCTCAAGGTAGACATCTCCAGCTGCCAAGTTGGCATTCAATCTATCAGCTTTACAAGAGCTCATTTGGATCTTAGCTCTACAGAGCGTGATCTTCAGAGATTTGGGTTCTACATTATGGCCCAAAATCTTTGCTATCCCTCATGACATCAAGTTCAAGCATGACGACTTGAGAAATATCTTATGGGTCATCACCCTTAACTTCCTGGTTTTCCAAGTCGTCACTCATCAATTTTTGGGTTCCAGGTCATAACACCTCAGCTTCTTGGTTTCCAGGTCGTCACTCCTTAGCTTCTTAGTTCTTGGTTGTCACTCTGAGCTCCCTGGTGCTAGGTCATTGCTCTCAGCTTCTTGGTTCCAAGTTGTCACTCTCAGCTTTCTCAGCTTCTTGGTTCTCGGTTGTCACTCTTAGCTTCCTAGTTCCAGGTCGTTGCTCTCATCTTATAGGTTGGAAATCTCAAATCAAGGTTTCCAAGCCATATTCCTCAGGAATAAATCAGACCCCTCTACAACCTATAAAAGCAAGAAGCTGAACCCTTGTGATTTTTCAACAAGCTTACAAATCACTGGAGGGGGGGAGTAATGTTGGGATAGTAATCTAACTAACCCATAAACGAAATAAAGGCCCATAAGGTCCAAATACAAATGAGCACATCCATGAGTCACAATGGAGCTTATATACATTGAAATGGATCCAAAGGGACCAATAGAAGTTCTGTAACGGCTATGGCATTGCGCTCGTCGTGATATCTGTGTATACTCCACAGTCAAATGGACAAGTCAAGTCCACCAATAAAATCGTCTTGCGAGCCCTCAAGACACGTGTTTTAGCTGCACATTCTAATTGGGTTAACAAGCTCAATAAAGTGCTTTGGTCATGTCGCACTACACCCAGCTCGGCCTCAGGCGAAACCCCATTCAATCTTACCTATGGAGCTGAGGCCGTCATCCCTGTAGAGGTCGGATTGCCATCTGATAGAGCAGGTCGGCACAACGATCCTAACAATGAGCAACTTTTAAGAGAGAATCTAGACCTTGTGGAAGAGGTCAGGGAGATGTTTCGAATAAGAAACATGGCGCATCAAAGTCGTGTCACTAATGCTTACTCGTATATGGGGAAACTTGCACCGAAATGGGAAGGTCCTTATATGATTATTCATGTTAAGCGACCTAGGTCTTATCAGTTGGCAAAAGAATACCAAACGCCCTGAGCAAATCTCCTCAGAGATTCACCACAATTTGAGATTTGAAAAATCTCAAAGCCGCAGAGGTTGAGCATGAAGTGCCGAGCTCCACCATGAACTACAGAGGTAAAGCATGAAGTGCCGAGCTCAAACACTTACAGCCGAGGTCAGCCATAAGCTTCAGAGGTCGAGCACAAAGTGCAAAAATCAAACACGAGCTGCCGAGGTCAACCATGAGCTGCAAAGGTCGAGCACGAAGTGCAGAGCTCAAACATGAGCTGACAAGGTCAAACACGAGCTGCAGAGCTCAAACACTTGCTGTTGAGGCCAAGCATGAAGTACAGAACTTGAACACGAGGCGCAGAGGTCAAGCATGAGCTGAAAGATGTGCAGCACAAGCTGCAAGGTGTCAACACCCTCAAATTAGAGATCTTTTCAGAGACTCCAAATTCGAAGTCTTTAAAGATCAAGTCGTAACAAATTGGAGATTCACCTTAGTTTTGAACATCAAATGTTAGATTATCACCAACTCCTTCACATTTATTATGTATTTTGGAGATCTACATTATAGTGACGATTGAGGTCGCTCATTTCAGCCCATCTGTGTTGATTGGCTCATCTCGTTCACTATCTGCTCGCCTTCGCCCTGCTGCAGAAAATCCCACATGACTCCGGTCATTGCTTATTACCTTGGCTCCGGCCACATGACTCTGGTCATTGCTTATTACCTCGGCTACGGCCACATGACTCCGGTCATTGCTTATTACCTCGGCTCCAGTCACATGACTCCGGTCACATGACTCCGGTCATCATTATTTACCTCTGCTCCAGCCATTGTGACGCCAAGTCACCAATTCTACTTCGGCTACAACCATAGTGACCCCGAGTCACGTATTTTACTTCGGCTGCAGTACAGTGACCTAGTGTCACATGCTTTACTTCGATTCCGGCCATAGTGACCCAGTGTCACACGTTTCACTTCGGCTCCGGCCACAGTGACCCAATGTCACATGCTTCACTTCAGCTCTGGCCATAGTGACCCAGCGTCACACGTTTCACTTCGGCTCCGACCACAGTGACCCAGCGTCATACGTTTCACTTCAGTTTCGGCCACAGTGACCTAGTGTCACATGCTTTACTTCGGCTCCGGTCACAGTGACCTAGTGTCACACGTTTCACTTCGGCTCCAGCCACAGTGACCTAGTGTCAGATGCTTTACTTCGGCTCCGACCACAGTGACCCAGTGTCACATGTTTTACTTTAACTCCGGCCACAGTGACCCAACGTCACACGTTTCACTTCGGCTCCGGCCACAGTGACCCAGTATCATAGGCTTCACTTCGGCTCCGGCCACAGTGACCCAACGTCACACGTTTCACTTTGGCTCCAGCCATAGTGACTTAGTGTCACATACTTTATTTCGGCTCCGGCCACAGTGACCTAGTGTCACACGTTTCACTTCGGCTTCAGCCACAGTGACCTAGTGTCACATGCTTTACTTTGGCTCTGGTCATAGTGACCCCGAGTCACATATTTTACTTCGGCTCTGGCCATAGTGACCCCGAGTCACATATTTTACTTCGGCTCCAACCATAGTGACCCCGAGTCACATATTTTTCTTCGGCTCCGACCATGGTGACCCCGAGTCACCTATTTTACTTCGGCTGCCGCCATAGTGACTATGCGTCGCCTATTTTACTTTGGCTCCCGCCATAGTGACTAGGCATCACTTATTTACTTCGGCTATGACCATAACACATGACTCCATGTCATGCAATTTTACTTCAGCTACAGCTATAACACATGACTCCGTGTCATGCATTTTTACCTCAGCTATGGCCCAAAACACATGCACCGAGCTCACCTATTCAGCTTGCTGATTAGCACCAAGCTCGCCTGGTTTTAACAGCAGCTCCCCACACCTGCTCGGTAGGAAGCCGGCATACACATACACATCAGACTTGGCCACACTGGCTTCAGGCCGCCTAGATTGCCCGTGCGTGAGGTCGATCATGAATGTAAAACATCACTCCTCATCCTCAGGGTCAAACATCGTGCTAATAAAACTCTTAACCCAATTCGTCAACCGAACATTGAGGGGGGAGTAATGTTGGGATTAGGCCCAACACCCGCTTCGGGCCACATGCAGCAGGCCCAACTATGCACCCACAGGCCCAAGAGGAAGAGACACACCCACATGACCAGTGCCACATGGGCCAATGAGATGCTTACATGTACAGATGCATGTCAGCATTTGGGGCTATAAATACCCCCCAACTACCTCCATGCAAGGTAATTAATCTCTACGCTTCTCTCTCTGCAATTACTCTTTGAGAGCATCTCTCTCTAAAATATCGAGTATTGCTAACTTGAGCGTTGGAGTGTTTTCCCCGAGGAAACATCCTCGAGAATTTCAGGTGTGGAAGCAGCTGAAGACCTCAACAGTGTTGGATCGTGAAGCTGCCCAAACACCCCCCCTCTGCAGAAATCCGGATCTGCTTTGCTCTGTCCGTCCGGTGGCTGCTCTTCATTGTTGGTTTTTTCGGTTCTGGTAAGGGGGAACAACCATTAAATTCTCTTTTCTCACTTGATTTGGCTTGGGTTTACTTTAATTTCCCTTGGTTTTTCCAATTTTGGTAGACCCCCTGAATTTCTCCTTCATTCCTGCCGGCTTCCCCTAGCTTGCAGCTCTGGTTTTTTGTTGCTGAATTCTGGTATGTGACAGCCATTTTAAGCCTTAAATTATCCATTAGCTGCTGAGTTTGTCCATGAATTACTGCCCCATGTGCTATCCAAATTTTGTTGAATTAGGGGGATGAATTTCAATAGCTTTAAGTAGGGTTTTTGTTTAATTTAAGTGGAAATGAACTTGAGTAGTTGCTGTAAATTTCTGGAAAAAAAAGAGTAATCCCGTGAGTTGTTGATTGCCAAAGCCGGTTCCTCCATTGCGTTTTTAGCTAAATATATATATATGTGTGTGTGTGTGTATTTGTATATATATATATATATATGTATATGTGCACAACTTGATTTTAGTGCTCAATTCTCAGAAAGTAGGAAATAAAATAAAATAAGGAAATAAATATTGTACTATGAGGGTTAATTACCCGTAATATTAGAAAGGATTAACTATGTAATTTTTATATGGGTATAATTAATTTTTGAATATTTGATTAGGTTCGTGATTGTTCTGTCACCTGAGCACTTGGATTGAGTCCTCGATTTTGTGCGATTTAAGGTAAGTAAATTTATGGTAATGCCCGTACAGTTTTTAAAAGCATGTTTTGACTTGTTTTTGAAGTGGTGGCGGGACTAAACCCGTTTTATACAAAAGTAAGTATGACTGATTTGAAGTGAAATTTTTATGCTTTTCATTAAATTGAGCATGCCTACTTGAAATTTAATTGATTGTCCTGATGATCTGAAAGTGATTGGTGAATTATGGTTTTTCTGTTAACTTCTGCCTGTTTTGTCTCCAATGTGGTCATGTTATTAGTGTGCCCGCTAGTGGGAGGTTTATAAATGCTAGCACATGTCAACATATTATTGATAAAACCGGTTCGTTCGAGTGACCCTGCTAGTGGGGGCTATACACCAGCAAATAGTGTAGCCTGCCAGTGGGAGGTTTATAACACTGGCCATGACCTATAGAGGAGACGTCTATTTCGTTCCTGTACTATATCCGTTTTTCGTGATTACACTTGTTAGCATGCTATAAGTTTAGTAAGGGGCACTCCATATTTACTTACTGAGTTATCTCATAGTTTTTTCTTGTCCACCATTTCAGGAAGCGAAGTCAAGGACGGGGAAAAACAAGGGGAATGACGAGTTAAAAGGCTAGCCATCTTGTAAATTGAGCATAGATTTAGATATAAATCATGATCTTGTAAGTTAGGCTTTATTTGGAGATTTATGATATCAAAGCAAATTTTATAATTTTATCTTCAGATTTTGTGGTATCAGATTGTGGTATGATAAGTTCTGAGCATTGTGCATATGTGGGACCCTCTCACAAGTGTACGGCGTCTGCCACGTCCCCGGATTTGGGTTATGGGGCGTGACAAATATTAAATAGCAAATGTGTTGAGTAGTTAAATTATACTTGAATTGCATAATGAATATTAGGTTTTGTCATTAAAATAACTGATAAATTAAGTAAATATATTAAAATATATTAAAGTGTGGATTGAACCCAATTTATAGTCATTTATAAAAAAAAAAAAAGAAAAATAATATTTTTAAGGGTACATTAAATGAGGTCCCATGGAAGGAAAAGGAAAATTGTTACCTTTAAATAGTATATTTAGTTTGAAGGAAATGGTGAAAAAGAACAAATGAGGTTTTTTTTTTTTTTTTTTTAAGCAACTCTCTCCCTGCACAATGGAAGGCAATTCTTTCTCATCCTTTAACCTACCCTACCACTATATCATGTGATTCGAGTTCTAGAGCTTTTACTTCCACTAGAAAAAAATTACCACTAAATTACTTAAGTTATTGGCAAAAAAAAGATGTATTTTATAACTAATCAAATTATAATATTTTTCAAATATTGCAATTTGATTGATTGACAAATCTATCACTCCATACCCTTCATGCCAAACACACCTTTAGGAGAGATTTCATATCCTAAAATAAAAAAAAAAAATTTTGTGCAAAAGTTAAGTTTCTTAAATATTTGTAAATCTTCTTTGAACTAAAATATTAAACTGAAATATTATTACTAAAATATCAAATATTAAGAAGTGCATCTCTTAATTAGAACTAATTTAAAACTTATTGAAATAATTAAAACTATACCTTCCATAAAAAAAAAAATCTAAAATAGTAGATATGACACAAATAAGGGAAAAAAGCATTATTCTAAGAGGAAACAAAAAATTCTCTATCAAAAATCAAACATAATATCCATTAATATAACACAATTCATAAAGCAGCATAATAGAATAATATAAAATGCATACCTTAATTATCTATTCTAAAGTACTAAAGCATGTAAATTACTAATAAGTAAATATATATCTAGAAATAAGAAGTAATGTAAAAGTAAATACCTTTGAGAAAATTAAAGAAATAAAATTAAAAAAAAAAAAAGAGAAGCAAATTAAAAGGCCACCTAAAAATATTATGATTTTAAATTGATCAAAAAAATATTAAATATTAAATCACAGCCAAAATTTAAATCCTAAAACTCTAAATTATAGATTTTAAAAGCTTTAACATTTAAATTCTTATTATTAAACTCTAAAATTTTTTAATTCTAAATTCTAAAATTATAAAACTAAAAACTAAGTTCTAAAACTCTAAATTTTAAATTTCTAATTCTACATGTTAAATCTTAAATATTGAAAAATAAAATTATTCTTCCTAAATTCTAAAAAAATCAGGCTTAAAAATAATAAACATGTAATTTGAAAAGTAGTACAATAAACAAATTCAATAGTTTTTCTTTTATTATCATGAATTAAATATTTTAATATACACTTTACTCATAATTTTGCCCAATCAAACAATGTACCAATTATTTTTCATGTTATTATAATGCTCAAATTGCTTAACACTTATAAATATAAGCCGTAGTAGACCGAATATTTAAAATTGTCCTTCAATTATGAGGTGAAGACAAATTCACCCACTAACAAAGAGTAAGGACAAGTGAACTATATAACAAATCAAGTCAAACAAATAATCTTAATATTTAACAAATCATGTCATTCTATGTCAACAGTTTAGAACTCCATTTGTATGATTTTTTCTCATAACACTACTGTAGATCCATTCTCACCTTGATTTTGTTGGCATGGCCTTAATTAATTGTTTAATTAATTAAATATCATTATTCAATTAATCACTCAATTAATTAAAAAATACAATATTAAAAAATCTTATCAACCCCATTTGCTTATTCGTTATCAATTGACTTCTCCCCTCTTCTTTTCATGTATTCTTCATCTTCAATGAAAGACATCTCCATATCCTATTTCTTTAGCTCTCCCCTCTAAGATATAACTACTCAATTAATGCTAGTTCACCACTTGTCTTCACAAATCATTTTGCATGAGTTGATATAGTTAATTTTATGACCAGATATATTGTTCAAGTTACTATCTTTATGGAAAAAGTTTAGGAAGTTGAAATGGATTCAGCTCTTGCCATCTAGATTATCAATGAACAATGAACCCTAGATACATCATTCTTAACTTTGGTTGAAGACTACAAGGCACTCATGAGACAATTTGCTTCATCCATTCTCAAACACACCAAGAAAAGGTAAATTTGACAGCAAATCACATGACCAATCTAACTAATAACTTGCCTTTGGGCACCATTTACGTCAATATAACTTTCCTAAAATGCTATCAATTATAATAAGAAATGTTATTGGGGTGTTCTACCTTATAATTAGCATGGTGTAACCTTTGCTTTCAGTTGTACAAAAAAAAATTGTTATTTTAAGGTGTATGATATACTAATTTAAAAATAAATATTTAAAAGTTAAGGAAAATTTTGTTAAAGTGGGTCTACTAAATCTTTCTTTCAAATCAAGTGAAGGTTAAATTTTAAATATTATATAAGTGAAAATACTCCAATTAAATTCTGCATAAGTGTATTAGGGTTTTTTAAAAGGTCCAAAATACCATTTTTTGACAAATAATTAAAAATGTTAAGTACTTATTAATTTTAATTAAATAAATATTAAAATTAAAAAATAACAATAAATAAAACTCTCCCTCTCCTTTCTTTTATTATTTTGATTAATGAATTTTATTTTAATACCTAAAAATAATTCAAAATTTTAGTTTTAATTCATATAGTTAATCAAAATTTTTTTAATCCTTTTAAGTAAAAAAAATATTTTGATCTTTAATTGTTAACCAAAGTGAAATATTTCAATTAACTAAATTTTTAATTGTATTAATCAAACAAAAAATAATTTTAAATATCAAGTAATTTAGAATTAAACAAAATATGTTCATCTCTAATGATAAACAATGTAGTGAGAAAAACAGAGAGAGTTTTGATTATCATTTTTAATTTAATAATAACTTATTTAATTAATATTAATTGATAAAAATTTTATATTTTAACTATTACACCATAAAAGGATATTATAGGCATTATAGAAAATTTTGATGCACTTATATGTATTTTGCTAAAGTATTTTCATTTATATAAGATTCAAAATTAAATCTTCACTAAATAAAAAAAAAAATTAATAGACATACCATACTGAATTTAAAAAAAAAAATTAAAATGATCATAAATTAGCTGGTATATCTTTTAAATTAAAAATTGTAATTAAACTTTGGTTAGTTAGTTGAGGGGAAAAAATGAAAATGAAAAAGAATAGTGCAAACTAAAAAGAATGTGCAGTGAAGAAAAGTGGAAGGTGAATTAAATTTAATGAATGATGGTTAAAAATATTAGGTTTAAATTAACAAGTAGAAAAAAAGACATAAAAGGGTAGATTTACCAAATAAAAAAAAGTTTTAACATCTGGTAACAAAAAAATTATTAAGAAAAGCTTGTAAAATTGGCATGTGATGTGACTTTCCTTCGTTGATTTCTCTCT